ATTTGTTTTCTAACCAGTAAAATAGTGTTTTCCTCTGAAATTTTCATGGATTAAGGTAAGAGACATATAGTCTAAAATGTTTTATGTTAAAGTTAAGTACCTCTTCATAGTGTGAGTTAATTTAATAAATTATCAGTAAATGTTAGTATATTGTAATTGTTTTAAACTTCTTTATTAATACTAACATTTTTGCTAATATTTGTATGTTATATTTGACAGTGATGAATGGAACTTTTGTAGCTTTTTACTTTTACCAAGAATATACTTTTATTCTAAATTAGAATAAAATAATTATTTTTCTTATTTAGTATTTATGGCTTTTGTTTAGCCTGTAGAATTTAAAAATCCATGAGACAGAAAAAAAAAGAAAGCGAGACCTTCGTTGTATCTTCATTTGACCTATGCAGTATCACTTAAATTTCATGAATCTCGAGGTCTTTATATGTAAAGTGAAGGTGTTCTGTTAATTATTCCAAAGTCTATTCTGATTGTAGTTCTGTGGTTCTAACATAATTTTATTGTATTCACTGATTTTGTATCTAAATGAGATAACTACGTTGTCTGCTTAAAATAACATAAAACTTGACATGGAAATAATTTATGAGCTCAACCTGGGTGATTTGTGGTAATAATATGGTGTGAATATTTTCAAAGGTGCTAACTAGTACTATGTTCTTGGTGATTCACAAACTGAAATATTGGTAAAAACCTGGAACTCCTATCTGTTGGAAGTCTTAGATGACTGGAATGTACATCTTAGATTTTCCTTATTGCCAGTTTTATTTTCTGAAGAGTGAAGGAAGTAACTAGGAAAAGTGCTACTCTAGCTCTTTAAATAACATGAAAGAATTGATCATCAGTATGGTGGTTTGAGAATCCTTGAGAGAAACTAATGCTTGAATTCAGATTTCTTTATAGTCAGGAACATTCACTCTGGCAATACTTAAATATATGCTTTAGACTTTAAGAAGACAAACTTTAAAACTTTTTAAAGAGATAAATATGATTCCAGAGAATGAGACTTTGGATGTAAAGACAACTTGAGAGGACTGAATGCCATAAAAAATCATTTCTGATTTTATAATCTTGAATGACCCTAAATAGGAAGAAAATGGCGAGGAGCCTTAAAAAACATTGCAGAGCACACAGAAAACTCTAATATGAGCTCACATTTGTAAAACACAAGTACAAAAGATGGAAAGCATTTATAGAACCAGGGAACAATGCTAAAAGTTTGGCAGAGACATAGAATAGAAAAGAATAGAGGCCTAAAAACAATTAGGTTTGTAGAAAATGCTTATGAAATCAAAATGGTATTCACTTTTTAAAAAAGGACACCAAATGCATAGGCAAGAACAGAGAAATGTAATTGGATTCATCAAAATTAAAAGTTTTGTGCATCAAAAGACACTCAAGAAAGCAAACAAGTCAGCTGTAGAATGGGAGAAAATATTTGTAAATTATGTATCTGATAAGAGATTAATATCCAGAATATATATCTCAACAAGAAAACAATCAACCCAATTCAAAAATGGCCAAAGAACTTAAGTAAACATTTTTCCAGAGAAGATATATAAATGTCCAGTAAGCACATGAAAAGATGTTCACTATCACTAATCATTAGAGAAATGCATGTGAAAACCAAAATGAGATACCATTTGGCACCATTGGGATGGCTGTTGTCAAAAATGAAGAAAAACAAGTGTTTACAAGGATGTGGAGAAATTAGAACCCTTGTGCATTGATGATGGGAATTAAAATGCTGCAGCTACTGTGGAAAACAATTTGGTGATTCCTCAAAAAGTTAAACAGTTAAACATAGAATTATTACCATATGATCCAGCAAGTCTACTTCTACATATATCCCCAAAAGATGTGAAAGCAGAGATTCAAATACTTGTACAGCAATGTTTATAGCCGCATTATTCACAATATCCAAAAACTGGAAACAAACTAAATATCATTCCTCAGCATATGAATAAATAAACAAAATTTGGTATGTACGAGTGATTCTTGAACAACATGAGTTTGAACTGTGCAGATCCACTTTACATGGATTTTTTCAATAAATACATGCAGTACTATAAATGTATTTTGTCTTCCTTATGGTTTTCTTAATAGCTCTTTCTTTTCTCAAGCTTCCTTTATTGTAAGAATACACATAATATACAAAATATGTGTTAATTGACTTATCGGCAAAGCTTCTGGTCAACAGTAGTTAAGTTTTGGAGGAGTGAAAAGTTACACATGGATTTTCAACTGCATGGGGGTTGGTGCCCTTTACCCCTACATTGTCCAGTAGTCAATTGCACATACAATGGAATATATTATTCAACATTAAAAAGGAATGAAATTACAATACATGATACAACATGACTGAACCTTGAAAAACTTATGTTAGGTGAAATAAGCTCTATACAATCAGACAACTATTGGATTTTTCTATAAGAATTCCACTTAATATGAGGTACCTAAAATAATCGTATTCTTACAGACAAACACTAGAATAGTGGTTATCTGGCACTGGGGGAAAGAGGGAATTGGGAGTTATTATTAATGGGTACAAAGCTTCTTTCTATTTGGGATGACAAAAAGTTCTGGAAATGGATAGTGGTGATGGTTGCACAGCATTGTAAATGTACTTAATATCACTGAATTGAATACTTAAAATGGTTAAATTTGTAAAAGTTTATCTTATATATATTTTACCACATCTTAAAATTATTTTATACACCAGTAAAGTTAAAACTTGACTAGAACTTAGTATAGAATATTAAAGAAATCATTTTTCCCTACTTAGAAGAGGAAGTAGTAAAATTAAGAGCTGCTACATGGCTACAAGTCATACTATGTTTTACTTTTTTGGTGTGATTACTATTCATTTGAATTCATTTAAATAGATATATAGTACCTATTATGACAGACCAATAAATAATGGATGTATAGTATATTTGAGACAATCCATCGTAATATGGATTATAGAATAATAAATATTGGATACAGGACAATTAGATATATTTGATATTTTGGTTGAACCAGTTTCAAAAAATTTGCTGATAGATTTCTAGAGATACACTTCAGTGTTTACCCTGAGCTTTGCTCAAGTAAATGATCATTGTTTCAGATAAAGCTGTATTTACAGATAATGCAAATACAGAGAATGCAAATTATGCAACAAATAAGTTGAATGTCAAAATGAGACTTAAATTTTTTAATAGTCTGGAAATATCAGTTGAGCGATGAAATCTAATAAGAATAAATAAAATGTTACCATATTTGATTATAAAAAACAAATATGATATTGTGAGTTTTATCTCTTTAATCGCATCTCTAATTGTTCTTCTCCTTGAATAGTCTAGTAATAATAAAATATCCTCAGTTCTCCAG